ATTTTTATATGGTCGCAGTCTCCCTTCGTTGTGTAGACGCTGTTTTACCTTGTTTTCGCAACTTGGTCCTGTTGGTAGGAAGACTTAGAGAAAGCCACCTAGTCATGAGCCCATAGTATACATGCTAATTTCAAGAGTCGTACCGTGGACGTGGTACATTTGAAAACGTGTCGCCGGCATCATATTGGACATCGTCAGTAAGCGTTGTCATTCTTGGCACCACACTAAAACACGTCAGAGACATATTAAGCCGATCGAGGATTGGTGATTAGCCCAGTACAGAAGGAAAGATACCACGATTGTTTAGCAGATAATTAGTCAAAGGGTCGGCTTCACATGTCTCTGACTAGTTGTAGCGTGGTGCTAAGAATGGCAATGCTCACTGACGATGCCGGCGATGCGTCTGGGAATGTCCCATGTCCACGTTACGATTCTGGAAATTATCATGCATATTATGGACTCAGGATTAGGTGCGCTCATCTAAGTCTTCCTACCAATATGACCAAGTTGCGAAAACAATATCAAACAAAAGTATTTTAAGTGTTGGTTCGACTTCGTTTTCGCAACTTGGTCGGAGCGTCAGAGTGAACGTGGAACTTACCTAATCCCGTGTCATCTGCCATAATATTCGTAATTTCCAGCATTGGACCATTGGCTGGTTACATTCCAAAACGTTTCGCCAGCATCGTCAGTGAGAGGCGGCATCGTTAGGACAGAGTTACAACCTTTTAAAGTGAGAAGGGAAGGCAATACCCTTGACCAATTTTCTATTCAACCGTTGTGGCATCACTCCTCACCCCTATTTTTCGTTCTACCTTCTAAAGCTCCATCTATTTGTCTCAACCCCACTTCATATGGACTATCCACTAATTCACACAATTATGTGCTATCGTTTCCTCCAATGTTTATGGAGGTTAAATCATCTTTACCACCGATAGTAGGTACAGTTTGTAGAGCTACTAACCTACATTCTGCCCGCCACATCTTTTTTTCCTACCCGCTTGTCAATTGGCCGCTGCTAAACGTCAAAATCACTGTTTCGCTGTCTTGAATCAGACTGCCTAAGAGCCTTCACTTCCCGTTCTCGATTACGCCATATTCGAGGATTTCGAACAGATGATGCCAGTTCTTGGGAAATATTCCTCTCCCTAGACTTCAAACCCATGATGCAACTATCATCCCCATCATCCCCACCCACATTGTGTCTCATTCTTTGGAGCCCTTCGGCTTAAATCATAGCCGCTGGTGTGAGAATGCACCACTTCCATTTTTCTCCTTTAAATCACAAAAAGCACACCTCTCTTATCTCAAGTTGGCAGTCCTATCTAATCCTATGGTATTGGGATGATGTGCCTGTATCTGTGTTGGTTAGTATCCCACTGTTGTCAAGTCTGTCATCAGTCGCCTCCCCTTCAGACACAGACACGAATAATACACAAGACATTTACACACACACTATTGGCCTCTATCTAGCTCACTTATACCTTTAGCCTTTAATTTTATACCCTACATCTCACAAGTGAATCCCTTGGGTAAATATTTGGCCAATTTCACGTCTACCTCCTATCGCTACAGTTGCATTTTCTTGACTTCCCTTTGTTATTCATGGGCCACTCCTTGGTGATGTCTCTTTTTGTTGTTGAACAATTGTTCTGGGTCAAAGCGTCTTCTTACTAATGTCTTCTCCAAGTCTGCTCAGGCAGTATGCGAACTTATCGCTTACTCTTTCCGTTTCCTATTCATCAGGTTCCTTTGAAATAGGATATTCACAGCCTCCCTGATCTTCCGTTTCCTGGTGTTTTTCTTATACGAGGCCAGCCTTTACGTTGCATTTCAATCAATTGTGTGGCCGGTGATTGCGATGTGTTCAGTTATTTCCGATTTTTCCGTATCAATTTTAATTAATAGTAGCTGGTGTTCTTTGATCCTTGGTCTCGTTGTTCTTCCTGTATCTCCAATGTATTTTTGTTTAGAGTCCTTGCAGTTTATTCTGTTAACTCCGGAGCACTCAAATTTGTTAGCTTTTTATGTTATGTGGAAAAGTTGGTGAATAGGGTTATCCTTTCCTTCAGGATTGTACGAATGTTCCATTTCCCTTTTATTGACGGTAGCTTCCGAGCCCATTCTCAGAAGGGTAGACATATCCGTAATTTTTCCTCTGCTCCTCTTGCTTTTGCTTCATAATCTCCATCCTTCCATTTCTTCATCACCATCCGTATGTTCCATTTTATTATTTCTTATGGATATTCGTTCCCAAGACACTTCTGAGTTGGTTTTCCCAGTTCCTCTTCCCATAACTCAGAATCAGCGAGTCGTAATCTTCTTAAGACCATATTCCGGAGTATTCCAAACTTCATTCCATAAGTATGGTTAGGCTAGAAGTTAATAGTTATTTAAATATGCGATTTCTTTCAGAGTCTTTTCTTGAGGGTTTTCTCGGAGCGAATAATAATAATAAAGCCTGCTTTTTCGTTTTTTTGTCATATAGTGACTCGTTCAGTCGATCAGGCATTGATAATCTTTTTGACGTCACCCAGGAACAAATTGCATCTTTGCGCGATACACAAGTGGAGACTTTTACGCCGCCAACATCCAAAGCCTCTGATACAATCCCTTCTGATAACCCTCAGCTAACGAAACTTGAGCCAAGTGCAACAGAAGATGGATCATCCAGGCCATCAGTGGCCACCTCCTCTGAGACACCTTCCGTTGGGGCCTCTGCCAAAAATCCCGAAGAGATCACAGAGATTGCGCCAACAGCCCATGAGGCGACACTCGCCACATTCCCACCTAAAGCGAGTCCTGCTGAAGTACGAGCTTTTGTGCTTCCGCAGCTTATTCGATTCTTGTCGTCTGATGAACACCTACATTCGGCCGGGGAGCCACAACCTAGTTCACTAGTTGCTATTCTTTCCGGCCTTGCTACCACGCCAAAGACAGTGCTACTTACTATTCCTCTGCCCATCATAACTGTAAGTTAATTTTTTTTCATTTATAATTAGGGTTTCGAGACCTGTGATGTCTTAGTAATCCAAAATTGCTTTTCAATGAACTTACTACTGCTCTTTTCAACCTTGGACATACTTCTAGCCTGTATTTAAATCTTGAAAGTCAAATGGAGACCTGTAGAAACAAATGAACTTAGATATGAAGACATAGATGACATGGACTTTTGTTTAATCGCAGCAGCTGTATAGTATTGGTTTGACTTCGTTTTCGCAACAAAGAAACCTTGTGGAACATACCTAGTCCTGCTTTCCAGTCTCAGATCGCTGACTTGGTACATTCCCAGACGTGAGAGTGGGTAAATGAACTTAGCTGACAACTAGGCTTATATGTCTTATATTTCATCCCCTGCGACCTCTGGCTTTCTTATATCTTTTTTTAGCTTAATCCATTATGTGTTTCATTATCACAAATACATTGTTGGCGGCAAAGCATTGCAATTCTCACACTATCAACTAATCCGTATTCATTCACCCCAATAGTCAATGTAGCAATTTTCTGCTGGGCAGATCACGCGACCAATTATTCGAACACGAGAGGTGCTTGCAACTATATGTAGACAGAAAAACTAAAACTCAAGCAGAGCTTACACTGGATAAAGATAAAAATTATAAATTATTTTCCCTGACATCTCTTTATTTTCATAGGCTATAAGGATTATATCAAGATCTACTGGTAGTATCGAAACTTAATCCATTAATAAGATACAGTTCCAAGAAAAATCAGAGCATGAGCACTTTTGAATACCGTTTACTGTAAGCAATAACGACTGATACTGAATACATTTTTCTTTACTGTGCCATGGTTATCAGTCAAACTTCAGATCCTTTTTTACATTATTAATTGTCTCACTTCATACTTGCTATCAAGCATTCGACGATTCAAATTTTTACTCATAATTTATCAAATTGACTATAAGCATGTTCCACTTTTAATAATATTCTTTTTATTGCCTCGGGGAACTCAAATATTCTACTTTAA